TATATATATATATATATATATATATATATATATATATATATATAATATTTTTGTATTTTATGATATTATATTAATTTTAAGAATATTATATATAGAAAGAAATCAACTAACATGTGTTACTGGTTGCATAAAAAATTAAAGATAAGTTTACGTTAAGAAATGGACTGATCAATAATTTACCTCAAAGACAAAACAAAATCAAATATAACGTAGAATTTCTCTCCAATTATATACTCAAACAATTCGTATAACAGTAAAAGACAAATATAAAATTTTTCCTCAAGTTTTCAATAACATAATTAAAGTTCCTTTCTCAACTCTTCCCCTAAATAATACCCCAAACATGGCAAGCAAGCTAGATAATTTGTAACATTAAAATATAAAACTGAGAATAGTGTGCATCACCAAGTTAATTTTTTCCGCCGTTTCCATGCATATCCTCTTTTTCAGCGCCTGCACATTTGGTAATTTTCATAGAAATCACATTCTCAGAAAATTGAGTCAGAATGAAGGAATATCTTGAAATTGATCTTATCTTTGTAAAAATCATATGGCAATTTGAGATTAAACAACGCTTACATAAATGAGAGATAGAGGAAATACATAGCGATGAAAGACGGAGAAGATCATGGGATGAAAGGAAGGGTTACGGTCGTCGATACATCAACTTTCAGTAAGATCAAAACTATAGAATTGCAGTGCATAGCGGTTACCTGTTAACAAATATCTGCAAGAAGAAAAAATAAAGCAAAAGCAGAAAGTAATTAACAAATGTTATGTAATATTTAATGAAGGGGTGTGACTTTGAGTTTTTAACAATTAAAATTGGAGAAAACCCCAAAATAAGTAGGAAAAAGATAAATGTAATTCCTAACATTTGAGACATGCCACATCACCTTTTTCATTCCCATAAATATATATATTAAACCTTTAAAAATTCTCCACAAAAAAAAAAAAAAGAATATACACCTCAATTGAGGCAATGACCTACTCCCTCTATGACACAATTTTCTTATTATTTTTTCCACAAATAATGATATTTTTGAATTTGAAAATATTTAACTATAAACTTTTTATTTTACACATAATGAGAAGCTTTATAGCCACACAAATGTTATGTAATATTTAAGACCACAAGTTAAGTCTTTCTTTGTTACTTATACTATGTACCGAGTCAAACTGTGTTTTATCATACTATATTATATGTGTGAAGACTTTTGGGTAAAGTTATTTTACTAAAATATCCTTCAAAAGCTAAACGACCATTTTACCCTTCAGTTTAAAAATACTCCTTTAACATTGTTGAATAAAAATGTAATTATACATGATAATGAATACCAAAGATAAAATTGAGCACATTTATTGTATATACAAGCTTTAGACATTTATTTTTAATGATAATGATAATAATCCTACGTTATCTCTCATTCTAATTTATTACTTGTGCAAATTTCTGAAGTTGAGTCATTATTCAATTACGATTCATAAGTACTGGCAAATCTTAACTATTGCTCAACATGAATATACAAGTAGAATACATAATGTATTTGGCATTTAACTGATCGGTGAAGGTTATTAATTATCCATAATTGGCTGTTCACTTGACCATTTAATTTCTTTATTATAAGTTTATATTTATAATTTATTGTAGCTCTTTGCTAGATTTGTAGACTACTTCACATCCTTGTTATCTTCTTTTATAGATATTGACTTATGTTATGGAGCATATCGGCAATCTATTTTACAAGGAACATATTTTGTTGAATTTTAATTAAAAAGTTCAAAGTATGCTGCTCAATGTCTCAAAGGAGCACCCCCATGGTTATTGGTCACAGTGAAAAAAGCTACTTGGGTGGAAGTGACATATACTAAAATATTTTAACCTAGATTCAATTGGATAAGATATGTGTAAATTGGTATCTTCTTTTTGGGATCTTTAACAGATATCCACAAAAGATCTTTAGAAAATTATTCATTAAATTTTTCTATTACTAGATATTGACGGTCTCATAAATTTTATCCTCTTAGACTTTTAATCTATATTGTTCACCCACAGCCTGACGCAAAGTATATATTGAATTCATTAAAAAAAAAAGTATTGGGAGATCGTCATAAAAAAATAAAGAAATGCCTTTGAGTGGCACTAGATGTTTTTGACCCCATAGATCAACTGACTTACCTCTAATGGTGTTATTGATTAGGTACGTCAGTAATTAATACGACACATCTTTCTATGCTCAATGATATTCTCCTACGTACCATTTGAAAAAAGATAATGGACGACTTTTATGAATTAATTTATCAAAATAATAAATCAAACATGACAATCTTTTTCTTCTTTTGAGACATGCTTTGGTCCTCAATCCTTTTTTTCCAGAATTTTGAATGCTCTTGGATAAATCAAACGTAGCTTAAGCTGCCATTGGTGGACATGCAATTTTTTTTTATTTAGTAGGCTTTTTTTAGCATTTAGTAGTTAGATTTATTTTCTTATACTTCAATTAATATTACCATCCATAAAAAGTTGGATAATTCTGTGGGGCAGGTTTTTCTTATATTGAATTAGCTAAATACAATTAAAGTCTATCATTTTCAAGAACTTGCAATTTTTATTTCTTTTGTAAATCATATATATATATATATATTCTTAGGTCTTTTTATGAAATGAATTTAATCAAAATACAACCTATGTTGAATCACTGATTATCTTATGATTAATATAATTTGGTTTAAAATACAAAATACGGTCATTATCAATGATGTAATTAACGGTGTGATATTCGTGGTGATTTTAGACAATGATAATGTTTATGAAGTACTTTATTAGTTTTCTTTTCTATATGAATTTATAATTTTGGTGGAAATTGAACTATTTAGTCATTAAATGTGTTTTTTGGATACTAGACTGATAAAATTAAGAAGAAAACGGTCCCTTCTCTTGAAAAACATTTACTACAATATTTGATTTTTATGCTGACCCAAGTTACATATATAACTACATTAATACACAACTCCTTATCAGTTTCTGATTTTTGGGATCGAAATTCACACAACAATAACATTATTGACATATAACTGTATTTCTCATAAGCAAAGGGAAAAATAAAAGGAAAGGAAAGGAAACATAACGGTATTTTATTCTTTATAAAATTTTAAGGCAGTGCACATGGTTAAGGGGCCTAAGTAAAGTATCAATAGGACTAGTGTCAGAAATTTAAAAAATGTATATTTTGGAGGGTAAAATTGAACAATCTTCTTAACGGAAAAACAAAATTGTTCAAAGTGAAGCTATTTCAAATTTCCCTCCTCTGAATTAACGGTAAATACAGAACTCTTCTAAACTTGGATTCAAGAATCAAGAACTGACTTTTCTATATCAACACTAATTCTCTTCTCTTTCCCATTTTGAGAAATCCCACCCATATTCTCTACTTTCTTGAGTTCTCCATCATCCATGTGTCTTTGATATTCTATTCCATTTTTATTTTTGTTGAAGTAAAGTTTTTCTGTAACTGGTCCACGAATTGAAACATATCTATTACGATCAGAGTTACTTCTTGATTGAGAAAGCAGATACAATGGGAATACTCTTTATAGTTGAATACAATAAAAATCCATTTCTCGAATACATGTTGTTTTTGCATTCTTCGAGCTGCATTCCTCGAGGATCACATTCTTAACGTATGGATTCTCGTTCTCTCATCATTTTTGCATATATCTATCATTAGTAGTACTTCATGTTGAATGTTCTGAGTTTTTCTTGCAATTCAATTTTGTTGTGATGACACTAAATGGTTCTGTGGGCTACAGACATTTTCTTTTAAACTCTACATTTAGGACAGAATCTTGAATTATTATTTTCTTGAATTGCACATAACTATTCGTTTAGGAAAACTATTTTTTATCTTTGATGAAATTGCTACTGATTTCATAAAGAGGATATGTAAGATTCAATTGCTTAATTTCAACAGCTTTTTGTCTTGTACATTTTGCAGGTGGCAGACACGAGTGGAGGGATCTTTAATAAAGTGTAAGTCTCACGATTCCATGCGATTTTGAATAAAGGGTATTTCAGATGATTTCAGCAACATGGTATTTGTTATTTGCAAGGTGTTAATTAATACAAATAAGTATTTATGTGGCAGGGAAAAGCTTATTTACTGGAATGATGATTTGCTTTATTTTAATGATGAACAAGTTGGAGACGCTAATGAACAGTATCATGACCAAGATGGAGGTAGTAATGGAAAGGATTATGACCAAGAAGCCGATGCAGATCAAGTGGCTGATGGAATAGATAATACTGATCTAAATGCAGACATATGAACCAACTATTGATGAAAATGCAGACATTGAGAACCCACTGAACATGCTAAACAGAATGTAGAACCAGCTTATTACGGATGTAGACACTTCCACTGAATGCACTCACTCGTTAGATTATCACTCTGGTACTACCGTTGTATATGCTGCTTAGTTTATCTTTAGTTTCTTGATGCAAGTCAGCTGTCAAGGATTCAAGCATTTGACAACAAGAATACTGATATTTCCTTGGATTTTGCTGGTTAAGATTACATCTATAAGAAACTTGGGTTTATCAGAGAGGATATTTCCTTAATTGCGACTGCTATACAATTGTCTGTCTCAACAAGTGGAGTTGCTTGACAATGAATGCTAGTGAACTTTAGTTTGTTTTTCTTTCAAAAATGTGGATGACTACTGTGGGGAAAGATGATGTTCCAGTATGTGGTGAAGTTAGATTTTAACAGATATGTTTGGAAATTGTGGATCTAATGGCTTTTACTCTCATCTTGGAGTTAATTTTATGAGCAGATATTTGTTCATTCCTGTTGCTTTCTGCATCTGAGGGCGCAGCATGTGCCACATGCTTGAACAAAGGTTAAAAACTATATTGTTATTTTGTAATATGGCAATGCTAGGTACGATTTAATTTGAAATCTCCAAATCTGCAACGTGGAGCATATTTACAGCTTTTTGAGTGGTGTGTTTGTTGAGTATAGTTTACTGAAATATGTTCAAGTTTCATTGCTCTAGTGGTGAACTATCCAGGAGTACACACTACCCGTTAAAAAAATAACTTAGTGAATAAGTATGGCGTCGCCCGGACTCGAACCGGAGACCTTCAGTGTGTTAGACTGACGTGATAACCAACTACACCACGACACCTTGGTGCTTTATCCAATGCTACATATTATATATATTATCTAATTGACTTAAATTATTACTGAAATTCAGAATCTGAAATAAGGTTTTATATTTTTTTTTTTATTTTAACTTTGCAGGAATCCAACCATTTTCTTACCAAAGCTGGAGACTCAAGTTATACTCAAATGTACAACTTTAAACGTGGTTTTAAATTATTTTGCAGGAATTTCCATCGTATTATTATCAAAGTTGAAGATAAAATCGAACTAATGCTTGTTAGATCATTTTAATCGAGACCTTCAAATTTAAACTTTGCAAGTGTCGCTCACTTAACTAGGTACTTGAGAAATTTAAGAGAACTATAATGAAAAGGAGACGGGTCCAAATATAACTGTATTTCTCATTAGTTAGTAAAGAAAAAAGGAAAAAGAAACACAATGGTATTTTATTCTTTAGTACCTTTTTAAGTAAGTGCATAAGGAGAAGGAGGCAAAGAAAAACGTCAACAAGACAGCAGAAATTTAAAATAATGTATAATTTAGAGGGTAAATTGTAAAATCTTCTCAAGAATAAAAGAAAAAGAAAATTTATCCCTAGTAAAGGTTGAACATTTGTTCAATTAATTTCGCGAAGCTATTTCAAAATTCCCTCCTCTCTGATTTAACGGTTTGAGCAGAGCTCTCTTCAAACTTGGATTCAAGAATCAAGAACTGAATTTTCTATATCAACATTCTCTTCTCATTCCCATTATATGCAGTCTTCTGCATTTCAGAATTATTAGGCATTCACTCCCTTATAAATCCCATCCACTTTTCACTTTCTTGAATTCTCATTGATCACCAAATTTCGTTCTTTATCAGGTTAGAAGCAGTCTATATTCCATTGATAAACTCGATTTTTCAGTAGTGCATCTTTGTTATTTCTATTCCATTTTTTATCTTTGTTGAAGTAATTTTTTTTCTGTAACAGGTCCAGGAGTTGAAACATATCTATTAGGAGTTGCTTCTTGATACAAAAAGTTAATACAATGGGAAGACTCTTTTTAGTTGAATGCGATATGAATCCATTTGTCAATTACATCCATTGTTGTATGTGCAGAACTCGAGTTGCATTTCTCGAGGATCGCATTTTTAACGTATGGATTCTCACTCTCTCTGCATCATTTTTTTCATATATACCAGTAGTAGTATTTTATGTTGAATGTTACGTTTTGGGACCCTGGAGTTGTGAGTTTTCCTTGCAATTCAGTATGAATTTGTTTGTGAACACACCAGATGGTTTTGTGGGCTACAGACATTTCCTTTTGATACTCTACATTTAGGACAATCTTTAATTAATTTCTGTTTAGTTGTACTTAACTATTCGTTTAGGAAAAACGATTTTGTATGTTTTGATGTAATCGCTACTGATTCCATAAAGACGATATGTAAGATTCAATCGCTTAATTTCATCAGCTATTTGTATCACGAGTTGTGATTAAGCATTGAATGAGTACTCATGCGTTGTTCTTTTATATTTCTTGACTAAGCACAGAACAGCTATAATGCTCAATTTTTTGTCTTGTACATTTTGCAGGTGTCATACTCGAGTGGAGGGATCTACCATAAAGTGTAAGTCTCCAAATTTCATGCAATTTTGAAAACTGGGTATCTACACATGCAATTTTTCTGCTGTCTATATGGCTACGTTGAATACCTTTATATACGCAGGTTTAATGTACAAGTACTGGACGACGAGAAATATCTTCGACTAGATAATGGATATACCTTAGCCGATGCTTACTGTGTCGGATGTGGAATGCTACTAGGGTGGAAATTTGTAAGATACTAATAACAAAGAGGATTTGATTTTCATTCTCTCTCTCTTTATATTTTTTCTTATACAGAATTTATTCCTTTCTCCAGATTAGAGTCGCCCAACCATCCATATACTGTAAAGAAGGAAGATTCTTGATGAAATTGTAAGTTTCTTACAAATATGCAAAATGCAACTCTATGCATATCGATCTGATAATGTTAATACAAATTAGTATATTTGTGGCAGGGACAAGCTTATTTACTGGAATAATGATGTTCCGATGAATAATGAAAATCAACTTGATGATGAACAAGGTGAAGGCGCTAATGAACAAGTTCCAAATGATCAAGATGGAGGCGCTAATGAACAGGCTCCTAATCAAGATGTTGATCAGCTGGCTGATGGAATGGATAACATTGATCTGAATCCAGTTATATGAACCAACTAATGATGAAAATGCAGACTTGTAACCACTGATCAAAATGTAGAAGCAGCTCATTATGAAAATAGAAACTTCCACTGAATGCACACACTAAAGCTCATATTCGTAATTGTGTGATATTCTTTCTTTGGTTTTGGTATTACAGTACATATTATTACTTCAGGTTGGACTAAAGCAATTCAAAATGTGAATATTTTCATCCAGAGTAAGCGTGAATATTCATAGTCATCTTGGTTTCTGTTGTCTCCTCTTTTACTAAGGATAGTGCTTGAGAAACTGTTTTAGTAATGACCACAAGCATATGGTCAAATTATTTCCAGTGCTCAAATAACACTGATTTGGGTTTTTCTGCTCTTTTGCAATTCAACAATTTCATGTATTTCAAAGGTGTAACCTTCTGAAATCTAAAGCTCAACAGTCAGTCGTTCGATAGGTGAATGTATGTAACTGTTGTTTCTGTTGTGGTTGTAGTTCATTGCTAAAAGTGTAGGGTGATTGTCCAGAGTTATCCTTTGTGATTTGATTTTCTATCAACATAACAGTTCTTCTGTAACACTGGTACTGCTAGTTTGTTTCTCTCTACTCCTCTCTCTGATTTATATCATCAGATTCTTGTGGGATTGGTATCTGCTCAAGTCTTCTTCTCACACCCACACACAGTTTTTGGATAAACTTAAGATACAAATCCTGTTATTTCTAAGGGTTCATGCTAATGTTGAGCCAAGGAGAAAATGAAGCAGAAACTTGATTTCTGATTCTAAAGATGCCAGCCTCAACAAGAGAAACCTCGTAATCCTTAAGTTTCAGCTTCAGTTCAAACTTTTAACTGCTGAGAAGTACGATTGAAAAGAATCAACAAAGAAATTAGTTAATCAGACGTTTAAGGTTGGTCCAATTCACATTTAGTTGGTTTTCCCCGTTTCATCTCTCATTAACATGCAAGGAAGGTTGTGAAACAGATTTCCTTTGCTATACCTTCAACTTTAAGAGGACAGCTTTCAGTTCTCCACCTTAAAAGTAAATAGTATTTGATCTAGTTATTTCAACTCTTGATCATTTACTAGCACAAGGCTCCTTAATTGCTCCCTATCCATATGTAATGGTGTAGCTTATGCTGAGGTTACTTAAGGCATCTTACTTCAAAAAGAGAAACAATTTCGTGCATAAAGCTTAAATTTAGTGAACCAAGAACAAGGGTCTCAAGATTTTGGACGAGCAGAGCATTTGACAACTCGGAAATGGAAATGGATAAAGCTTGAATTTACCAGTAAAATTTCTGTTTTTTGAACAATGTTGGTATTTATTAGGAATATCAATCAAATCAAGGTAAAAATAAAAAAAAATTGGAGGATTGCACAGTCGTTTCAATCAATCAATTAACAACAACAACGAGCCAGAATATAACCATCGTAATTTCTAGAAATGAACTTTGTTCCTTGAATCTGCAATGAGAAATTACAATATCAAGACCTTAAGAAGAAGAACTAGAACAAAGCTGCTGAGAAACCAACAGAAATTTCCAGAAAATCTACAATTACTACCATTACACTAACCTAAAATCACAAACTAAACAACCTAACCACCAAATCCATAGAGAGTCCTGCCCTGCCTCTTGAGTGCGTAAACAACATCCATAGCAGTAACAGTTTTTCTCCTGGCGTGCTCAGTGTAGGTAACAGCATCACGAATCACGTTCTCTAGAAAGATCTTCAACACGCCACGTGTCTCCTCGTAGATCAACCCACTAATACGCTTCACACCTCCCCTACGAGCCAATCGCCGAATTGCGGGCTTCGTAATTCCCTGGATGTTATCCCTCAGCACCTTCCTGTGCCTCTTCGCTCCTCCCTTGCCCAATCCCTTGCCTCCCTTTCCACGACCAGACATTTTTACACAGAAATTTGAAGATAAAAGAAGCTTCTAGGGTTTTGGATTTGAATTGAAATGTATTCGGCGAGTATTGAAGTGACGGATGGTGCGTATTTATATTTGGTGGATTTCGTGGGCGGTTTGAAATGTGGCGGGGCTAAAATCGTAGCCGCTAAATTTTGGGGGATTTGGTTGTTAATCGACGGATAATAATGGTGATCCGTGTGAAAGGCGGAACCTGAATATGAGTCGTTGATTGAAATATGATCTACGGTGAGGAGTGCAGCTTTGTGTAGAGGTGCGGATTGTGCTTTTTCCACGAGACAAAAGAGGGTACTTTGGTGCGGTCGGAGAATATTAGTTTCTTCTTTTCATATTTTGCTTACGGAGAATTATTAACCGTAAAAGAGGACAATTTACTAGTGTTGTCAATTCATCGTTTCCTACTGAGAGCAGTTGTTTCTTTTTTTGGTAAATAAAATAAGAGCAGTTTATTATGCTAATAAATTATAGTAATCAAAACTCATCAGTGGTTAATATTTTCTTTTGAAAAGAATAATAATTAGTCTTAAAACTTTCCTAATTCGTTAGGTAAATTAAAAGTTAATCTTGTCAACTATAGGCATGTCAAAAGTTGGTAAAATTTTACCTAATTCGATATTTATACCAAATCAATGAAAACATAAAACATGCCTTCACAAATATTATTATCACTAAATTAAGTTAATTAATAAATATTTTTGCCTTAATTTATTACTTAATCATGATAAATTAGTATAGTTTAATGTAAATATCAAATAAAAGTAAGTTTTTAGCATAAAATGTTATTTGGTACAATGGTGAAATATCCGATGAGATTAGTTATCCCACCTTCTATATGGGATAACTAATCCCACCATTTAGTGTAAAAGTTATCACCGGATTAGCTGATGCCCCAAACCAAACATAGAATAAAGTTAATCACAAACTTTATTTCGAGATTATTATCCTTATATCATGTATCAAACAACCCCTAAAAGATCTAAGTCCTAATTATATAATGCATTTTGATGGGAAAATGTACTACGCATTTGTGCTAAAACTCCTCATCCAACAAATTATTTTTATTTAAACTTTTAAACATCCTTTAAATTAAAATAAAATAAATGAAATACTTTTGACGAAGTTTTTAAGTATATAACCTCTTTTCTTTTAAAAGGATGTTTTGAACTCACAACAAAAGAATGAAAAATACTAACTCCTTACATGAATTTTTAGCTACACAAGCACACAAAAGAAAAAATAAGCGACGCACTCCTCATCCAACAAATTATTTTTATTTAAACTTTTAAACATCTTTTAAATAAATATAGAAGGAATGAAATACTTTTAATGCAGTTTTTAAGTATATAACTCTTTCTTTTTTTTGGTGAAAAAACGGATATTTTGAACTCACAACAAAGGAATGAAAAATATTAACTCCTTACATGAATTTTTAGCTACACAAGCACACAAAAAATAAAAAATAAAAAACGACGCAGGCTAAATGCGGTAGAAATGACATGAGATAATCACTTTTGTGGCTTATATTTAAAAATCCAAATAATTTATTAGGACTCGTTTGGACATAGATTTTGCCAAAATAAATTTGAGTTTTATTTGGCAAACACATGTTTGACCATAGATTTTGCCTATATTTTGGCAAAATCTCAAATCCCAAAACCAACTTAATAGCTGGTTTTGGGCCAAAATATCACTATTACATTTTTTAAAAATTGCCCCAAGCTTTTGTATTTTATAAAAGAGTCCACCATTTATTATTTTGTAACAATATTGCTTCGTATTCTTGATCATCTGATAGTGTATGATGTAGTTCATTATAAACATAAATAAATTTTGTATTAAATTTATTTATGTTCAGGACTATGGTTTGCAATAATATAATGAATGTTATTGATAATGGTATTGTTAGATATTTGTGATAATTTTTAGAACTTGTGGGTATAAGTCATGTTTCATGTTTTTTCAAAATAAATTTGGGAAATATGTTTTGAAAACTGATATCCAAACATATTTTTATCTTCAAATCAAACTTAATCCAAATCAAATTTTTTAGAACAAATTTGAGAATATATATGGTCAAACGCTAGCTTAGAAACTGTTGCTAACTTGCCACAAAAGTAACATGCGGCACATGATCTCCTCCTCTTCCTCCTTGTAGTTAATCACTTTTGTGGCCTCTGTGTAAAATTTAATGATAATTTTCGAAACTGTTGCTAACCTAGCCACACAAATAAGGGAATCTTACACAAATACTCAAATAAATTCCAACTTACCAATCTCTAGTCATTAATTATAGACTTATCAAAATTAGTCAAGCACATATAAAAATTAAAAACCCAAATAAATAAGGTTCTTTCTCTCCAAGAATCACACGCTAAGATCTTATTCCATAATTTTAAGCATGATTAGCAACATTAGATGCAAGACGGAAAAAATTTTTTATGGATGGGATAACAAATGAGGTGATGAAATACAAGATTCCAAAAATCTAAGCAAAAAAGGACATTTGTCAATGGGTATGGTTGAAATTCATTGAAAACATATAGATGAGTCAATATACAAAATTTGAGGAAGACCGGAGGCCATTTGGACTGATTTGTATCAAAATATGTAGTTAAAATCGAGTTCAAAAAATTCTTGTGCGACACATGTATCACGTATGTATCTCACACACAGGTATACATGGATATACATACGATACACAGTTGATACAAATATGATACATATGTGATACACAGTGTGATAAACATATTTTTTTCCATGTTCATCTTCTACTTTGAATTTTCAATCCAAACTAACTCAAAACTCTACCAAATCATCCCAAAACTGAGATTCAAGCTCCTTAAGATATACGCAATCTATTCTAATAAAACACACTCAAAAAAAGCAAAATTTTGGTCTTTTTTGGCTACAAATAACTAACTGGTTCATATTAGAAATATTTGGCTAATATTAGTAATATTTTATGAATTTGTCAATTATTATAATAAGCTACTTATAAATGGACATAGATGGTATTTTTCCCAAAAATAATCAAGCGACTAGAGTTTTCAAACGGCCAGCCTAGCCCATGTCACACCCTTTTT